ACCGCCCTTGACATCGCCGCCAAAACCAAGGCAGACCAAACGCTCGCCCAGGTGCTCGACTGGGTGAGGAGGGGGTGGCCAGGTGGCATCGTTGATAACAAATTAACTCCATTTAAGACTCGCATGCAGGAGCTGTCAAGTTTGCAGGGTTGTCTACTATGGGGTACTCGAGTGGTCATTCCGACCTCGCTGCGTACCCGAGTCCTGGAGGCGTTGCACGAAGGACACCCTGGCATCGTGAGAATGAAAGCATTAGCACGCAGCTACGTATGGTGGCCGGTTCTAGACGAGGACATTGTCAATTGGGTAAGTTCCTGCAACATCTGTCAGGAATCCCGTCCTGCTCACCCCATTGCCACCCCTACCAGATGGGAGAGCGCCAGCGGCCCTTGGTCTAGAATCCATATCGATCTGGCCGGCCCCTTGCATGGGAAGATGTTCCTAGTGGTCGTGGATGCTTATTCCAAATGGATTGATGTAGCACAGCTATCCACGACCACCACACTAGCAATCACCAACGTGTTAACGCGCCTGTTCGTTACGCACGGGCTACCCGACTCCATCATCTCCGATAATGGCCCACAGTTCGCATCTATAGAGTTCAGCCGTTTTGCTGCCAACCTGGGCATCCGCCACATTTTCACAGCCCCATTTCACCCTGCCAGTAATGGGTTGGCGGAAAGAGCCGTCAGGTCCACCAAAGAAGCCCTCGCCAGGTTCAGCAGGGATGACTGGCACCACAAACTCTCACGGTTCCTGATGAGCGAGCACTCAACCCCCTGTTCAGTCACCAATAAGTCCCCAGCGGAGCTCCTGATGGGCCGGCGCCTGAGGACTGTATTGGACAGACTTCACCCACATTACTGCCCTGACTCTCCCCTTGCTTCCACTTCGGGGGTTAGACATTTTATGTTACAGGAGCCTGTATTCGCGAGGAATTTCACCGGGGACCCACTATGGATGCCAGGCGTAGTCATCGCCATCACCGGGCCAAGATCGTATAGGGTCAGGCTGGAGGATGGTCGCGTCTGGAGGAGGCACATAGACCAACTGCGGAGGTGCCACAGCACCCTTGCCAGCAGAAATCCAGAATCACCAGACGAAGGGGAACCGCCTCATCCGCCTCTCAGCCTCATCGCACCCAACGTCCAGTCCGCACCAACAGCCGTTCCGGTCAGCCCGAACTCGGACAACGGCACCCCGAGAGTTGACCAGCCTGATCCAGCCCAAGGGAACTCGCCCCCAGTATCCAACCCTGTGAGTCCCGAGGATGTCCAATCCGATGAGCGCGTTGGCGACACACTGCCCGCTCAACCGTCACAGACTGATTCTGAACAGACAGACAATGCTCCCGAGCTGCGCCGTTCCGGGCGCCAACACAAACCCCCCGTCTACCTCAAGGACTATGCATGTTCGCATCTGGGGGGAAGGGGTGTTATGTCCTGAGGACTCTAGGAGTTCTCACTCAGGTCCACTCACTTTGTGTGGGCGTTATTACCCTTTTCCTCATTGGTTGATTCCCCCCAGCAGCCAGCTATAAAAGCAGGCTGCGGGGTCCAACCAGTTGCTGATTGCTGCGAGCCAGTTCCAGGCGTGGCAAGCACGGTCAGCCCTTTATTGTTATAATAAAGTATTGTTGCACTCATGCTCTGGTTCAGCCTCTCATTGCTCAAACTTAACACTCAGCTCCTTCATCTCCTTAGGGGTCATGGAGTACATCTTTGGTTTAGGTAGGTTAGCTCCCGGCACAAATTCAATGGTGCAGTCAGTGGGGCGATGGGGTGGCAACACGCTGGTTTTGTCCTCACTGAATGCCTCTGCTAAGTCCCAGTACTCCTTAGGGATTTGTGGGTCACTTGGGACCGGTTGCGATGCCATCGTGGTGCTCTCGTTCCGGGCTTTGTCAGACTGGTGTTGGGTAGGCCCCCCCCAATGGTTGGATGAGGGGGGTTAGGCCCCACTGCTATCTTGAACAACCGGTAACCATCCTGCCACGTGATGGACAGGGTTCACTTGTCCAACCATGCCAACCCCAGGATGACCGGCACTTTCATCTTTGGTGCCACAATGAAGTGGAGTCTTTCTCTGTGCCGACCCATCTCCATCTTCATCTTCATGGTGTCTGCGAGAAGTGATGCTGCCCCCCTCCCCCCCCCCGGATTAGTGACCCATCAACCTGTTCAAAATGTATGGGTTGGGTCATCTTCGTTTGGATGTCCAGTTTTAGGACGGTGGCCAGAATGATAAGGCAGCGGGTACAACCCATGTCAATAATTGCTTTTACTTCCCCCTGGCCCCCAGTCTTTGGCGCTATGATCCATATTGGCACAGCAAAAGGGGGAATGGATTCACTCACCATTGGGTCATCTTCACCATCATCACTGTCATAGGTCAGTGGAGTTTTATCTTCCTCAGGAAGGGAGGAGGCAGGTACTTCTACAGCATGCAGGGCAAATCCTCTCCTCTCTCGTCTCCCAGGCAGGGTCTCTTTTCCCCTTGTCAGACCACGAGTACCTGGTTCTGGTGTGGGGCCACTGGCAGTAGGACCCAGCTGTCTCGTGACTTCCTCAGTTGGAGGGGAGGGGGATTCCTGAGATTCTTCAGGCTCATCTTTTGACTGTGGGTAGGTTCCTCGCAGTTCCGTCGGCTCTTCAGCTGACTGGCAAGGAATCTCCCCCATGGCTTCCGCACCGAGCACATAAGTACTGGGACAGTCCTCTTCTCCCCGAGACCCAACTCACCCAGCGACTGGCTGCTGAGGACTCCGGAAACTCCCTTGGGTCTGACCGGGGCTCTGCATTGCTTCGGAAGCTGGGCTTGGCTCTGCAGTGGGTCAGTCAGCTGCTCCACGGGAAAGTCTTCCAATCGGGCTAGAACTCCACTCTCGCGGTCAGGCACCGTCTCTTCCTCCCTGGGCCTCGCCTTGGTCATCATTGGCTGCCCCGGAGGTTGGTAATTGGCTCCAAGACTGCCCACCAACTGGGTGGGTGCTTCTTCTGGACGATGGGGAATCCACCAGACTGCTTGGGCCCATGGGGGCGGGTAAGGGTAAAATGGCTGTGGCAGCTGTGGCGAGCAGGGGACGAGGATCCAGGGGGCATATCCCCAGCCAGTCCCTGGGTCATAGCTCCCGCCAAACTAAATTCAGGCTTGACAATATGACTATATCAGGATGGTACAAATTTAACTTTTAAAAAACAAGGGAATTTGTACCACCACCACCCCAGGCATAATGAATTTTTTCAGGCTTCCAATCACAATCACTTCCAAAAAATGAGCAAAATCCCTTCTGATGGCATCGCCCCCATGTCTTCTCATGCTGAAAAGACCAGCAGGGAAGTTGAGTCTCTGGTTGGAAAAATGGTGCCTAAAAACCCTTAGAATCTAATCAGGCTTTTTTGCTGAAATAAGCATTTTGTTCTCTACTTTCAGTCTGCAGACTGAGACAGGCCCAGGCACAACTCCCTCCTCAAGGATTTTATTACAGGTAGTCCTTGACTTATTACCACAATTGGGACCAGAATTTCCACAGCTAAGCAAAGTGGTGGTGGAATGAATCATGCCTGATTTATGACCTTTTTTGGTCACTGTTGTTAAGCAAATCACTGCAGTTAAGTGAATCATGTGGTTGTTAAATAAATCCAGCTTTCTTCATTGATTTTGTTTGTTAGAAGCCGGCTGGGAAAGTGGTAGTGATCATATGACCCTGGAACACTACAATTGTTGTAAATACATGCCAGTTGCCAGAATTTGGATCACTAATCATGGGAATGCTGGGGAAGCTATAAGTGCGAGGACCAGCTGTAAGTCATATTTTTCAGTGCCACTGTAACTTTGGACAGTTGCTAAATGAATGGATGTAATTTGAGGATCACCTGTACTTAATCAGCAAAGCTCCAATAACATCCAAGGAAAAGGAAAGAGCCCTGATAGCCCTTCTGCTTCCCCAGAGGATGGCCTCTCAAGGTGCACATCCTTACTTCGACCCACCTTACTGTTCTCTTCATCAGAGGATTGCATCTCTTGGTGTTGCTCTTTAAAGCCCCAGATGGGCACGCAGACAGGGAGGGATTTGGCATAGTGATGGCTTGGGGGTGGAGGAGCTGTCTGTCCTGGAGCCTCTTCACTCAGACTCCCATCTGAGAAAAAGTGGGGATTCAGAAAAAAAAGGCTTAGACCAACTGTGCAACTTTTGAAAACAGCGAGCTGTAAGCATCCAAAGCCTGATCTAAAGCAGGAGTGACCTGCTTTAGACTAATCCCTTTCATTTTGTTGAATTATAACTCCCAGAATAGTTAATCTTTTGCCATGTTTGGCTGAGGCTACCAGGAGTTGCGATTCAACAATATTTAGAGCAGAGGTAGGCAACCTCCTAAGACAAAGGCACATCTGAAGTTTTGATAGCATGTGGCAGATGTATTTTCATGGCCCATCACAAAACACTCATTTACTACGAGTGTTGGCAACCCGCAGCTCCAGAGCCTTATGCAGCTCTTTGGGCCCTCTGCTGCAGCTCCCTGTCCCATCACTGGCTGGCCCTGCCCCTTGCCTTCCCTCCCCACTCACTCCTCACCTGCCCTGAGAAGGTAAGGGCAACAGCAGCAGATGGAGACTCACTCCGTATTCCAGAGCAGGAGCGGAGTGCCCCTATACTTGCCTCTTTTTCTGGCCAGGGGTGGGATTCTACTGGTTCTCACCTATTCGCTAGAACCAGTTGTTAACTTTCTAAACAGTTCGGAGAACCGGTTATTGGAATTCTGCTATTGTTTTTCTCCACTTTACAGGGCTAATCCTGTAAGGAAGGCAGGAAGGAAACATTTTGGTGTTGTTTCTTGCCCTGCTTACAGAAACTGCCTCTCCATTAACCCTTATTACATTCTTGGCAGTACGCCTAGACTTCCTGTCTCCGGAGCTTCTCTGGAGTTTTTTTTTTCTTTGCTGGTACTTTGCTGAGGCTTGACTTTCTTAAACGGGAAGTGTTATGTCCTGAGGACTCAAGGAGTTCTCACTCAGGTCCACTCACTTTATGTGGGCGTTATTCCCCCATTCCCATTGGTTGGTTCTCCCCAGCAGCCAGCTATAAAAGCAGGCTGCGGGGTCCAACCGGTTGCTGATTGCTGCGAGCCAGTTCCAGGCGTGGCAAGCATGGTCAGCCCTTTATTGTAAAATAAAGTATTGTTGCACACATGCTCTGGTTCAGCCTCTCATTGCTCAAACCTAACAGGAAGGGTCTTGACTTTCTTAAAGGGGAAGGGTTATATAGATCCAAGATGGTGCCGACGATGGCTGCCTCAGTGAAATGCTCTCTAATGGTTTCTTTATTCTTTATTATTATCTGCAATTCACTACGGATTTCATACTCATGAGACCATCTGCTAAGAATAAGGCAATGTTTCCTTAAGGAGCAGCTTTCTGATTCCTCACCACCACCACCCATCTTTGCAAATGCGGAGGAGATTCTAACTAATTCCCTGGTGCTATGGATTACAACAAACAAAGGAAAGAAGTGACCACGCCGGAAGAGGAGACGAGGTAAATGAGTGGGAATTTTAAACAGACTAAGGAATAGGTGGGAAAAAACTCCTCTCCCTTCAATCTTTCTAACTAATTTATACTCACTTGCTAACAAGATGGATGAAATACATCTCTTAAATAGATGGAATTCTGATTTTTACAATTCAGCAGTTCTTTGTTTTATTGAAACCTGGCTTAATCCACAAATTCATGGGGACAACACCATTTACATCCCAGGATTTCAGATATTTAGATCAGACAGAATTGAAGAGACATCAGGTAAAACAAAGGGTGGAGGATTATGTTTATATATCAACAGCTGGTCTCAGGATATAACTATAATATATAAGTTCTGTGATGAAAATTTAGAGTCTTTACATAACAACTGCAAGCCATTTTATTCTCCAGGAGAGTTATCCTCATTTCTCCTAATAGCTGTGTATGTTCCTCCACAAGCTTGTGTAAACAAGGCATTACAAACTCTTGCTGATCAAATTATGGAGGCTGAAGCCAAACACCCAGATTCCCTCCCCATCATTTTAGGGGATTTCAATCAAGCAAATTTAAGGAAAGAGTTCCCAAAATATTTCCAGCATGTAAACTGTCCCACCAGAGGCAAAAATACTTTAGACCACTGCTACACAACAGTAAAAGATGCTTCATAGGTCTTTACCATGAGCAGCTATGGGACACTCTGACCACTGCATGATTCACCTTGTACCTGCCTACAGACAAAGATTTAAAAGCATGAAACCAACAATTAAATCAGTGAGGACTTGGTCTGATGAGGCAAAGCTGAAGGTCCAGGCTTGCCTTGATTGCACTGATTGGAATGTTTTTGAAGATACCTCTGCAGACCAAGATGAGCTCACAGATACTGTAACATCATATGTCAGCTTCTGTGAAGACTTATGTGTACCAACAAGGAACCTGCAAATATATAGTAACAATAAACCTTGGTTCACAGCTAAACTTAAGCAGCTACATCCTTCCAAAGAGGAAGCCCACAGAAAAGGTGACAGAATGCTATACAATCAGGCCAGAAACGTATTAACAAGAGAGATCAGAGCAGCAAAAAGAAGCCACTCTGAAAAGTTAAGGAATCAGTTCTCAACAAATGAACCAGCAAACATGTGGAAAACTCTTAAAAACATCACTGGCTACAGCAAACCTCCTTCCCAGGCAGAAGGAAATCAACAACTAGCAGATGACCTGAATGTGTTTTACTGCAGGTTTGAAAGGAAACTACAGCCACCTATCTCCACAACCCCCATCTCAAACACACCAACAACAGCCAAGCCTCCAACAACTGACCCCAACCCATTGGGTTCACAACCTCTGGTGATCACAGAAAAAGAAGTACAAGATCTATTTCACAGACAAAAGCCAGGAAAAGCACCAGGGCCAGACAAGATAACTCCTTCTTGCTTAAAAGTCTGTGCTGATCAATTGGCCCCCATCTTCACCCGAATCTTCATTAGATCACTAGAGATGTACTATGTTCCTTCCTGCTTCAAGCACTCTACTATCATCCCAGTGCCAAAGAAACCCTCCATCAAGGAACTGAATGACTACAGACCAGTTGCTCTAACATCTGTAGTTATGAAAATCTTTGAAAGGCTTGTGCTATCCCATCTGAAAACCATCACAGATCTGCTGTTAGATCCCATGCAGTTTGCATACTGAGCAAATAGATTGACAGATGTTGCTGTTAATATGGCTCTACATTACATCCTACAACACCTTGAATCTCCAAATACCTATGCAAGGTTCCTCTTTGTAGACTTCAGTTCAGCATTCAATACCATCATTCCAGACATTCTTCTAAGTAAATTAAATCAACTAGTGGTATCTGAACACACTTGTAAGTGGATCATAAGCTTCCTAACAGACAGGAAGCTGCAGGTGAAGCTAGGCAGAATCACATCTGATACCTGTACAATTAGCACAGGGCCCCCCCCAAGGCTGTGTGCTTTCTCCACTTCTCTTCTCTCTATATACCAATGACTGCATCTCAAATGATCCATCTGTTAAAATGCTGAAGTTTGTTGATGACACAACAGTGATTGGTCTCATTTGAGAAAACGACGAATCCGCATACAGACAGGAGGTTATACAACTTGCCTCGTGGTGTAACCGGAACAATCTGGAACTGAACACACTCAAAACCATAGAGATGGTGGTAGACTTTAGAAGAAACGCCCCTATACCACCACCTCTTGCAATACTAGACAACACAGTATCAGCAGTAGAGACCTTCAATTTTCTAGGTTCTACTATATCACATGACCTAAAATGGACACCTAACATCAAAAACATCATCAAAAAAGCACAACAAAGAATGTTCTTTCTGCGCCAATTCAGAAAGCTCAAACTGCCCAAGGAGCTGCTGATACAGTTCTACAGAGGAATTATTGAGTCTGTCATCTGCACCTCTATAACTGTCTGGTTTGGTTCTGCAACCCAACAGGACAGACACAGACTCCAGGGGATAATTAGGACTGCAGAAAAAACAATTACTACCCACCTACCTTCAATCGAGGACCTGTATACTGCATGAGTCAAAAAGAGGGCTCTGAAAATATTTACAGACCCCTCACATCCTGGACATAAACTGTTTCAACTCCTTCCCTCAAAACGATGCTATAGAGCACTGCACACCAGAACAGCTAGACACAAGAACAGTTTTTTCCCGAAAGCCATCACTCTGCTAAACAAATAATTCCCTCAACACTGTTCAACTATTACAAAGTCTGCACTACTATTACTGTTAACCTTCTCATCACTCCTTATCACCCATCCCCTCCCACCTGTGACTGCATGACTGTTAACTTTGTCACTGGTATCCTTACGATCTATATTGTTTCCTAGTATGATTTGATTGCTTATTGTACCCTATGACTATCATTAAGTGTTGTACCTTATGATTCTTGACTCTTGACGAGTGTATCTTTTCTTTTATGTATACTGAGAGTATTTGCACCAAAACAAATTCCTTGTGTGTCCAACCACACTTGGCCAATAAAGAATTCTATTCTATTCTATTTTTTAAAGCTTTTTACACTGCTGTTGGGAGGAAATACTCCCCTGGAAATACTTCCAGCCGCATGCAACAATCAGCACTTTGAAGAAATAATTGAATAATGAAGCAGAACTGCCGGAAAGCTTTTAATGACAAGGAACCAAGATGAGTGACATTCAGCAAGGCTTCTTGGCTGGCTAGAAAGATTGACATTCAAACGTGAGTTTACATACCCTTTCTGAGTTTGGGTCTAAAACTGGTTTTTGGTGAAGTTTAATTCTGTGCTTGGTGAGGTTTAATCCTGTGTTTATTGATGGGATAGTTTTCCCTATTCAGCTTTGTTTGGGAGGAAAAAGATTAATCTCTGTTCCTGAAAAGAAACTGGGTTGAGAAATCTGGCTTGTTCCTATGTCTATTTGTTCTGGTAATTGGTTTAACAAGCAACAGCTACTGTTGTGATTTAATTATTTGTATTATGTTTGAATTTTTTCCTGCCTCATGGTTTCTTTTTCTATCTGGGGAGGGGGTCTTCCTTCACTGCTTTAGTGGTTCCTGGCACTGTCCTTTTGGGGTGTACTTCCAAGAGGCAGGATGCAAGCTTGG